TGCTGCGTTATATTAGCTCCTTCAAATCAGCATCTGTTGTAAGTGGCCTCAAGAAATACATAGGGACCATTTAAAATATCGCGCCGCAATCTGAAATAGATCAGTCGGTATAGCGACGGGCAGGGCTGTCGGGGTTCGATTCTCGGCAGGGCCAGCTGTTCTCCAGACCGTTCACAGGGACTCTGGAGCACACCCTAACCTTCTATGTTGGGGGTACCGGGGGTAAGGTGGACGGGGCGTGAATCTGACCACTCACCTCCGTCTATTGCCGAAGTTAAGAGTGGTAAAGCTGTACCTCCACTTCTCACGTCTTCTTGACGTAGTGCAGAGACGGCTCCTCCTTTACCTTGCCTCAGCGGGAAGACAACACTGGAGCTGCTCTGTTGCGGCGGAAACGACCTTTTCCGTACCTAGACACCGAACCGTGGTCAGGATAAAAAAGTAAGAATGATCTTCCACTTCATACGAGTACGTTCGGCGAGCAAATGCAGGTGAACTTGTACAGACTTGATGATGAGACTATATACAGTGGGAAGTCATAATGTTTTCATTATCACCACGAGAAAAATCTTAATTCCGGAATATCGTTCTATATGGGAGATAGCCCATTTCCTGAGATTGCCGAACAGTCAAATTTTTCCGCGCCAAGTGGACAGAGGGAGCCACCGGAAGGGGCAGAAGCAAAATGGCTACGTCGGTTGAGAAAGTGGAGGCTCACGCTGTGATACGGTTCCTACATTTGCAAGGGAAGTCTGCCAGGGAGACACACGACCAGATGACCGCTGTGCATCAGGAAGGTGTACCATCATGTGACACAATGGTCAGATGGAAGAGGCGTTGCCATTGTGGACAGACAAACCTCGAAGATGAACCCTGAAGTGGAAGACCATCTCTCGCTGAGGAACCGGGAACTGTGGCACAGGTGGAAAGCTTTGATCCTATCCGATAGGCGCATAACTATCGAAGCATTAGCCATGGCTCAGTTTTCAACATCATCCATGACGAGTTACACATGACAAAGCTCGGTGCGCGTTGGGTACCATGATTGTTGACACCAGTTCAAAACCAGCAACGGATGTATGTGGCAAAGAAACTTTTGCAGTTGTGTCAAGACGAAAAGATGGAATTTTTCAACCGCCTGAGGATGAATGTTGTGTCTATCATTATGACCCTGAAACAAAGGAAATAAGCAAGCAGTGGAAACGTGCAGACTCACCACCACCACCACCTCCAAAGAAAGCCAAATCCCAGCCGTCGTCAGGAAAGGTGATGTTGAGCGGGGTCACCATCACTGGCGAGTACTACCGGAACCTTCTGAGAAAATTACGGGAGGAAATCAAGAAAAGGCGACGCGGAATGGTGCGAAGAGGTGTGCGACTTCTTCACGACAACGCGCCGGCTCATTCGTTTCATGCTATGACGACACTTGCTGCCAGTTTGGGATATGAAATTCTCCCCCATCCACCATATTCACCAGACCTGGCACCGAGCAACTCCTTCCTCTTTACAAGGCTACAGAAGACACTTCGCGGTAAGCGATTCCAAGACGATGACATCATTTCTGCAGCGGAGGACTTCCTAAACAGTCAAAATGACACGTTCTATGATCAAGGTATCCAGCAGCTAATGCACGGCTGGGGAAAATGTGTGGCCCTGCAGGGGGCATATGTAGAGACGGACTGACTCACATACAGTTTCTTGCACCTGTGTCTCTGTTTCTTCTGGGTGATAATTAAAATGTTATGACTTCCCCACGTACATGCAGATTGTGTAGCGAAGTAGGTGTCGGGAATAGTGCAGTGCACATCTGTTGATCTAATTTCTGAGCTTACTGGAAAACTAAAATGTTTAAAACAACCGAGTGTTGACCTTTTGCGTTACTTTCGATGACCTTATGCTTTTCTTTCCCCTTGGCATTACAGCCCCAGTGGGCCTAGGCCTACCTCCATGAACTTCTCCGTTCACTTCGGTTTTTCTAGATGTTACACATTCGGTAGGACTCCTTGGGCGGGTGATCAGCTCGTCGCAAGGCCTCTACCTGTACACAAACACAGAAAAACACACACACAAACTAAACATCCATGGCCTGAGTGGGATTCGAACCCACGATCCCGGTTTCCAAGCGAGCGAAGACAGTACATGCCTTAGACCGCTCGGCTACCGTGACCGGCGACCTTATGTTTACTGGGTCTATTTCTCATAGGACGCAGTCTCGCAGGGAAGCACAAGTTTAGAAATCCTTTCTAAGGCTCTAAATTATGCCTGAGGCTGGCCGACGATCCCGCTTCCTTGAAGAAATCACAGTCTGTATGAAAATTGATATTCAAAATTTCCCGTCTGTGACACACAGCTTTGTACGGCAAATGTTTCAAGGGAAGTCTGAAGTATTTCCGCCCTGCATGCTGTTTGCGCCTAGTTTGAACCATGGGTTGTATGAATTCCACGTGGACTGACGTAGAGTCTTGCTGAAACGCATTCTCATTCAGTAATTCCTCGAATCGAAGCCATTTTATTAATTATTTTATTTTCCGGTGAAATTATTCCAAACACAAACTGTATTAACTAACTTCTTGGAGCTGAGCCCTTCTTAATAAGCGGACAATTCTGCAGCTACTCAAGAACTTCCCAGCAATTTATGGAACCCGAAGGTTCGTTACTGTGTTCACAGGAGCCCTCCACTGGTCCCTATACTGATTGAGATCAATCTAATCTATACCAACCCATCCTGTCTAAGATCCATTTTAATATTATCCACCCACCTAGAGGTCTCTTTCCGTCTGGCTTTGCCACGAATGTCCTTTATGCATTGATCCATATTAGTGCTACATGACCTGCCCACCTCATCCTCCTTGACTTGATCATTCTAATTATACTTGGAGAAGAGTACAAGTTATGAAGCTCCTCATTATGCAGTTTTCTCCAACCTCCTGTCACTTCATCTCTCTTCGGTCCAAATATTTTCCTCAACACCCTGTTCTCAAACACCCTCAGTCTGTGTTCCTCCCTTAATGTCAGAGACCAAGTTTCACACCCATACAGAACCACAGGCAAAATTATAGTTTTGTATATTCTAATTTTTATGTTTTTGGACAACAGACGAGAAGACAAAAGGTTCTGCACTGAATGGTAGCAAGCATTACC